GAGAGAATCCTGCTTCAATTTTCAAGCCCAGGCTTTTTGGAATTAAAGCAAGGATGGCAATTGGGAAAGAAAATCTTTTTACTTGCAAATGGTATTTTTGATATAGACTCATAGTGGTTTAAGATTGAGCCTTTAGGCACAGCCCTGCATAGAGGTGGCACGAAGCTGCACCACCCCAGGAGGAGAATCAGAAAGGAACTGTGACTCAACATCACAATTCATCCTCTGTCCCTGTCTTTTGAGCTGGAAGTGATAGTAAGTTATTTCCCCTTTTTTGGGATGCAGCTTACTGTACTTTAGGGGGAATTTATGCTGTGCTCATCCCCTCCTCCCCCCATCCCCTCTTTCCATATCCCAGATGTAATGGATAGCCCTAACACTGTACATGGGAGTGGGGTTTTACTTCCCTGCATGGCCACATTAGGGCTGGTCACAATCTAGCCTTAAGAGACAAAAATAATGAGGAGTCCTTGTGCCACCTTAGAGGCTAACAAATTTATTTGAGCATAAGCTTTTGTGGGCTAAAACCTACTTCATCATATGCATGGAGTGGACAATACAGTAAGCAGGTAAAAAAATACAGCACATGAAAAGATGGGAGTTACCTTACCAAGTGGGGAGTCAGTGCTAATGAGGCCAATTCAAATAGGGTGGATGTAGCCTATTCCCAACAGTTGACAAAAAGGTGTGAGTATCAACAGAGGGAAAATAACTTTTTGTAGTGACCCAACCACTCCCAGTCTGTATTCAGGCCTAATTTGATGGTGTCAAGTTTGCAAATTAATTCCAGTTCTGCAGTTTCTCGTTGAAGTCTGTTTTTGAAGATTTTTTTGTTGAAGAATGGCCACTTTAAAGTCTATTATTGAGTGTCCAGGGAGACTGAAGTGCTCTCCTACTGGTTTTTGAATGTTACAATTCTTGATGTCTAATTTGTGTCCATTTATTCTTTTGCATAGAGACTGTCCGGTTTGGCCAATGTACATGGTAGAGGGGCATTGCTGGCACATGATGGCATATATCACATTGGTAGATGTGCAGGTGAATGAGCCCCTGATGGTGTGGCTGATGGGGCTAGGTCCTATGATGGTGTCCCTTGAATAGATTTGCGGACAGAGTTGGCAACAGGGTTTGTTGCAGGGCTAGGTTCCTGGGTTAGTGGTTTTGTTGTGTGGTGTGTAGTTGCTGGTGAGTATTTGCTTCAGGTTGGGGGGCTGTCTGTAAACAAGAACTGGCCTGTCTCCCAAGATCTGTGAGAGTGATGGATCGTCCTTCAGGATAGGTTGTAGATCCTTGATGATGCACTGGAGAGGTTTTAATTGGGGGCTGAAACATGATAGCTAGTGGCGTTCTGTTACTTTCTTTGTTGGGCCTGTCCTGTAGTGGGTGACTTCTGGGTACCTTTCTGGCGCTGTCAATCTGTTTTTTCACTTCCCCAGTGGGTACTGTAGTTATAAGAACGTTTGATAGAGATCCTGTAGGTGTTTGTCTCTGTCTGAGGGATTGGAGCAAATGTGGTTATATCTTAGGGCTTGGCTATAAACAATGGATCGTGTGATGTGGTTTGGGTGAAAGCTGGAGGCATGTAAGTAAGTATAGCGGTCAGTAGGTTTCTGCTATAGGGTGGTGTTTATGTGACTATCGCTTATTTGCACTGTAGTGTCCAGGAAGTGGATCTCTTGTGTGGACTGGTCTAGGCTGAGGTTGATGGTGGGGTGGAAATTGTTGAAATCCTGGTGGAATTCCTAAAGGGCCTCCTTCCCATGGATCCAGATGATGAAGATGTCATCAATGTAGCGCAAGTAGAGGAGGGGCACTAGGAACGAGAGCTGAGGAAGTGTTGTTCTAAGTCATCCATAAAAATGTTGGCATACTATGGGGCCATGCAGGTACCCATAGCATTGCTGCTGACTTGAAGGTATAAATTGTCCCCAAATCTGAAATAGTTGTGGGTGAGGACAAAGTCACAAAGTTCAGCCACCAGGTTTGCCGTGACATTTTCGGGGATACTGTTCCTGATAGCTTGTAGTCCATCTTTGTCTGGAATTTTGGTATAGAGACAATAAACATGGAAACTCACAATGCCAATTTTACAGAGTAGAATAAGACTGGAGGACTAGAAAGCGAGCCTAATCCCTCACTGAAGCTCTAGCTAGTCTTTAAATTTGTCACCATATCCAATCCAAGGATTCCCACCATAAATTACACCTTTCTGCCAAACAGTGTCTTAGTACTACATGTCACGGAGTCTCCGGGCGATGCTCTGGAACTGCTCCCCACAGTCAGGACTCTGGGGAGCCTCCTCTCTCAGAGCAGACTCTCTTCAGGGCAAGCAGCTCACACGGCTTCACCTTCCTGGGTCTGACCTTGGAGCATTCAGCATCCTCTGCCCCTCCATTCGCTTCCCACAACGAGTCCGCCAGGCTGGGTCCTGGGGAAGCCACAGGGTCCTGCACCCCCACTTTGCAGTCAGACGTGACTCTTAGCCAGCCAGTAAAAGAGAGGTTTATTAGATGACAGGAACATAGTCTAAAACAGAGCTTGTAAGTACAGAGAACAGGACCCCTCAGCCAGGTCCATTTTGAGGGGGCAGCGAGCCAGACAACCCCATCTGCACTCACTCCCCGTCCCCAGCCAGCTCCAAACTGAAACTCTCCAGCCCCTCTTCTCTGGCCCCTGTCTCTTTCCCGGGACAGGAGATCACCTGATCTCTTTGTTCTCAAACACCTTTAGCTATCACCTTGCAGGGGGGAAGGGTCCCGGCCATTAGTTACCAGGAGACAGAGTATTGGCCATTTATGCACACTGGCCTTTATCCCACCACCTAGAGACTTAAGAAATGCATAGGGGAAACTGAGGCACCCCTACAGTATTCAGAGGAAACATTAAGAACAGTCCCACTTCGTCACACTATACTTGGACAGATTTCTACCACACCAAGCATGCTGTCAAAAGAAATTTGTTTCTGTAGTTGCACTGTAAACCCTAGTTTTGAGATGGCTGTAACTACATGAACAGAAAAACCCCACACATTTAACTACTTTTGAGTCATATACATTTTAAGAGGGATTAAAATAACACTTAAGTGTTTTGTTTGGGAGGGGGGAACCACACAAAAACTATAATGTGGACAATAACAACTATTCCCAAAAATACAAATTGTAAATTTTAAGCACTGCATTAATCAGTTTTATTTTAGATATTGCTATATAAACATCAGGTCTTACCTAGAGATTTTTATCAGATAATTTACTTCTCTCAATGCCTTACTTATGTTTTTCTTTTTTAGCAATACTTTCATGCTGGAGGAAATGGGCTGAAAAAGAATTTCTTGGAGAAGAGCCCAGATCTACAGTCTCTGAGATATGCTCTTAGCCTTTATACACAAACTACTGATGCCTTGATAAAGAAATTTATAGCAACTCAGACTTCTCAAAGTAAGTGACTTGTTCATTGGGGCTGGAAATGTAGCAAAGATGATTTTAACATTTTAAATGCATATTTTGCTATCGACAGATGCTAATTATAACTGTCAAAACATATTATGAAGTTTTAATGATTATGGTCTTGAGGCAGCATTTCACGTTAAGTATCTTACTCGCCAAACGGTCCAATTGATTTCAGTTTGACTACTCAGAGTAAAGCACTGTTCCATGCAAATAATGCTGGCAGAGTCTGCCCATGTTAATATAAGCCATGTTAATGCAATGGTAATAAAAATTCAATCTCAACAATAAGTAAACCCAGGTGGATAATAGAGTCTATGGTACATACATATCTACCTAGGCAAACAATACAAGGAGCTGTATACACTCAAGTGTGTGAGATTACACTATGGACCAGGTCCTCAGCTGGTATACATCAGCAAGTCAGTGCAGCTAAGCTCATTTACACTAGCTGAAGCTCTGACCCTAAAGTTATGCATACACACTGACAAAGCAAGGTGTTCAGCCTTTACTCGTGTGGGAAAGCGCTTACTCACATGCATAGTCCCATTGAAATCAGTGTCATCAATGATGTCTGCGGATCACTACAAGAATTGCAAGGTGGCTAAAGAACTGGCTAAAGAGAAGGCACCTTCTGGTCTTCTTGCAGGGAAGAGGGTGTTATGAGTTATATGGTAGAAATGCTGTAACCCTGCACTGGAAATTACAAGGTTTCCAGCCATCAGAGGGGTATGGTTTTGGAATAGCCTCCCAGTAAGAGTTGTAGGAGCAAACAACTTAATTAGCTTTCAGAGAGAGCTGGAGAAACTTGTAGGTGCAATTGGATGATGGGGTTGCTTGTGATGGGGGGTAGGGCTCACTTTCAGTGTGTCTTATGTTCCTGAAAGCTCATGCTTCAGGGCATCAGCCAGCCCCCTGCAGGGGTCAGGCAGGGATTCCCCGTTATGTATCCTGGAGGGGATGGTCTCTTTCCTCTGAAGCATCAGAGATGGCCATGGCTAGGGATTGAACACAGGATAGGGAAGGGACAGTGCTCTGAGATCAGGGCTGGCTCTGGGTTTTTTGCCAACCCAAAAAAAAAAAGAAAAAAACTTCCGGGAGCGCAACTGCCGAAGCAAAAAAAAAGGTGTCTGGAATGCCGCCCCTGAAATTGTGCCGCCCCAAGCACGTGCTTGGTTTGCTGGTGCCTAGAGCCGGCCCTGTCTGAGATGGCACCAGGTGCTTGGCTGGCTGGTTCTTGCTCACATGCTCAAGGTTTAACTGATTGCCCTGTGTGAGGTCTGGGAAGAATTTTCTGCCAGGTCCGACTGGCAGTGACTTTGGAGGGGGGTTGCCTTCCTCTGCAATGGGTGAATGAGGTCAGTTGCCGGGATATCTATTTCACTTAATTTCCCTTCCATTGCAGGGGCCACAGGCAGTCGTGCACCTCAGTTTTCCCTCATCTCTGTCTGTGGCACGTAATAGTCTAGTCTTCTTTGGGCTGTAATACTTTGGTTTAATTTTGGTGGTTGGGTTTAATGTGCAGATGCTGGAGGCCTGTGATATATAGGAAGTCAAACCACATCATCTGGTAGTCCCTTCTGGCATTAAACTCTATGAGTGCTCACCAGCAGGAGTAAGGGCTACACAACTTAGCCCATAGTGTATACCATTACTGGGGGGAGGGACCCACTGTCATATTTTGGCAGCTATAGAGATTCACAACACAAAGAGCTAAAGATTATTGGCTGTAAATACCTCTCAAATAGGATATGCTACATACTATTTTCTTTGTACCTGAGAATAATGAAGTGTGGCTCTTGCACATAACCTAGTGATTTCACAGTCTGACATACATGCTGACTTTTCCATAAAGTGCACACTTCAGCCCTGACTGGAAGTACCCTAATATCACCGTTCCTGGCCTCCCCAGAGAAGAGCACTCAAAAGGGATCTACCACCATTTGCAAGAGGCCTCAACCAAAACCTTGGACCTGGGCAATTTCAGACCCTGAGGTAAAGAGCATGGGCAGGGCTTGCCTCTGGCTTTGGCTCAAATGGGCTCCCATTGAAAACAATGGGAGTTTGTGATTGACTTACATAGGAGCAGGGCAAGGCTTACACATGGTTCCCCGTTTTTATGTAGGTTTTTCTGCCACATCCAGCACCTGTAATAGCTGGGTGGCTTTCAGAGTGAAAGGCATTTTTTCTTTCCCTTGTGATGATTTTTAACCATGACAAGCTAAAATCATGTCAGATCATTTTTAAACATCTCCATACGACCATGTCAAATCTCTAATATTGACAGTCAAATTAAAGCAGAGAACAGCATAAGAGTTTATGAGCTAGGTTACACAGCTCTAGCACTTTGTTTTACACTGCTACAGGAGTATAAAGTGACCTTAGTGTAAATGAGAATCAGTCCTTCTATGTTTAAGGTATGGTTCTATCCAGTGAAGAGTAACAAGTATTTGAGAGGACATTTTCAAACAATGAAAGGGCTCCACATGAGTTCCTGCTACTTTCAAAGGCTGCTATCACCTATTAGGAATTGACAATCCATTGTTCTGAAAGCTGTAAAACATACATTAAAATTCCATACTACAAAGTTACTTCTGCATACTGAAAATCGGTGCTAGATTTCACCAAATGTGAGGGGCCTTTTAAAAATGGTTCTGTCCATCACTTACTGTCTTTGAGTGGAAATAGAATTTGCTGATCTATAATTATTATCTTGCTCCATCTCATGAGGGTGAGAACAGTTTTAATTGAACATTAACCTGGAAAGTAATTACTTTTACTTTTGAAGTGCAATTTGTTACTTACAATTTAAAAACCTGGCACGCAACATGAATTTTGCAGCTTGCTCTCAAGATTCATTGTAAGGAATGATTTTCTGAGCAGCTACTCCATTACATTAAGGGTCTTCATTAATAATTCATGCATCAGAAAAATGCTTAAAACTCTAATATATAAGGAAAATATTTTTCCCTCTCATAAGATAATACAATATAGATTTAGGCAGAAGATGAGTAATTACTAATTCTAACATACACTTTGTTTTTCCCTAAGTTATAACGAAAATGTGCATAAGAGAGAAAATTACAAAGGTTGTAGTTATTAAATAAAGATCATTTACCATTTTCAAGCCACAAACCTGAAGGGCCTGATTTTCATTAACAGAAGCTTGAGGTCTGTGTGCATTGCTGTGCACACATTAGTGTGCCTGTAGTTGCACACTTTTGTTAGCATAAGTACCACCAGGGGATAAGGGCTAGGGAAATATATCTCCTAATGTTTTACTGTTGATGTTCCACTTACTTATGAAAGCAAGGACTCATTTATTCTCATTCCTGGTCTCTCCCAACTGTGGCTGTGCTATTGGCATGCAGTTATAATGAATGTTTATGCAAATCAAGAATTTGCATTCAGAAATAATTAGATAACTAACCAATTAGGGTAATGCATGTGCAAATGAAGACAAATGCGCACACAAATTGTATGAGCAATAGGATTCTACTTTTTTAAATATCAATCTCCGGTTTTATATTTTATGCTCTATATTATTTTCTTTACTAATAAATGAATGAGCAGCTACTTGTAAATTTAGTGATAACATCAATTGTTTTTACTGAAATTGATTTGTCTTTTTTAAGCTCACTCTTGTTGATGAAATCTAGTTTTCCCTTATAAAATTTGAGAAGTACCTGTTTAGTAAATTTTATTACTTTGGTCATTCTTACTTAAAGTGACAGTGTAGGTTCCAAATACAGTAAAAAAAAAATCCACATTAAAAAGCAATTGGTTGTGTCTAATCTTTTGCAAAATCATTTTCAATGGAGCAGATCAACCTCTGCAAACTTTTTCATACTAAAAGTTACAAATTGTCCAAACACACAGTAAGAATGTAGAATAGATTTTTCAGGATTAAATTTCAAGCATATAGAATCATAGAATCATAGAATATTAGGGTTGGAAGGGACCTCAGGAGATCATCTAGTCCAACCCCCTGCTCAAAGCAGGATCAATCCCCAACTAAATCCCCAAATGGCCCCCTCAGGGATTGAACTCACAACCCTGGGTTTAGCAGGCCAATGCTCAAACCACTGAGCTATCCCTCCCCCCGAGAGACGTAAAGACTTATAAAATTACTCATATTTGCAAAATATACACAGATTTTATAAAAAATCTTAAACTTAACATGATTTTACTGTACACACCAATTCTTTTAAGATGTTCAATGAGAAACCTGAGCTACCTGTGAATTCTAAATATTGATAGAGATGAGAAGCAACTCAGGTTCAAAGCAGCTTAAGCATAACTCTGCTTCCTATCTAATGTTGGTGGATGTCTCAATAACAGAACCTTATATTTTATCTGTTTTCTCTTGGCTGTTGTCTGCAAATAGATTATAAAATTCACTCATTTGGTCTTTATTTGAAATTATTTGCAAATTTCTTCAGCAAATGAGTCCTGGTCTTCAAATTGTTCAAGCTACAATTTGCAAAGTAACTTATGAGCCTGAGCCAAAGCTTAACTGAAGAGAGCAAAGGTCTCTATTTTCTTCATTATTACTCTCAGAAATACCTTATTACATAGCTGCACTCCTGATCGTGACATTATAACCATGTCATCCAGTCAGCATGACTGAGGCAGCCACATCACTTGCAAAACATGTGCTTTCAGGGACAGCAGTGCCACCTGACTGCTATTCAGTGGATAGGTCAAATAGTGCTAATACTCATCCCTGGTTCTACCTCCATGTTTGAGGGAAATTGAGTGTACAAATTAGAGATTGGAAGCCCTCTCTTGCCATGATCATTAAGTTTCAGACCCTATTTAAATTCTGGATCTCACTTCCCTCTGTTCAACTCTTAATCCTTGACACCAATGCCTAATCAACCCCTTTTCCAGCTTCAGACTTCCAGACCCCTCCTTGCAGCAGATCTCCAGAGTGTCTCCAAAGTGTGTTCCTCTCTCCTTCCCTGACACAGGAGAGTAAAGCTTTTGAG